CTGGAGCCAAACTGAAGCAAATACAGACCAACGTGAAAGAGCAAAGAAAAACCCCAAACTGTGGCGTGTGGTCAAAGAAAGCTCAGATATGATTAATGAGTAACTGCAGCACTCTTTGTCAGTGGCTAATTCCAATTTCATGGACACATCAGTGTAACTAACAACAGCTTTGTTGTGGATGAATCCATTTTAAAACATTTTATAAAGTTGCTTTATTTTAGAGGGACATATAGTCCCATTCAGGCCATCTGAAGTAATCTCATCATCAATGCACATTTAATCTGCATGCAGGGTGAGTGTTAGCAGATTACATTTTTTAGACAATACTGTGTTTCTGAGGGAATTTATATTTTTATTGCATTTACCAATAGTACTTAGTTGTTTAATACCCATAAGACAATACATGAACACATAGTCAGATTTACTCCACAGTGTCCACAGACCCAGACGGCTTTTGACCTTTATTATGGTGTTGGGAAATAACAGCTAACTGAGTTAATGAACCCAGTGCATTTGAACCCTGAGCCTTCTTGCTACATAAAAATACACATACTGATACATGCATACATCATGACGAATTTTATACTAGCCTTTATACTACTCTATCACATGAATTTCACCCTTGAGGTTCCCTGTTGACAAATCAGTCAACAAATCAGCTAATATATGCCATCACACAATGCTCTGGGAACGTGACTGTAATCCCTGCTCATATACGTCAAATGATCAGGTGGGTATTAAATCACTTACATCAAGTGCTGTGGGGGCAGAGAAGCACCTAAAAACCTAAAACAAGCAGTTTCAAGGACCAGAGTTTAGAAACCAAACATTATTGTAATGCAACTGCATAATGTTGTAGGAAATGACCTACAACAATGCTGTTTTGGTAAATAAATTAAATTAAAGTGTGTCTTACTTCTTTAAATACTTTAATATTTAAAAAAAAAAAATTCTGTACATGCATATTTTTAATATGTTTTTTTCAATTTAAAGAGATAAAGGAGACACTAGTCTTAACAGCAGCTGACATTACGTCCAATCTGGATTTGGCTCCTTGAAGGATTGCTTCATCCCCGGGTCAAAGGTCAAACTCTCTTCTGTGCCTCATTTTACTGAATAGTCTTCTGCCATTAATTTTTTTTTAAATTAAATTTTAAGGATCAGTTGGATGGATCATGCCGTGGAGGGTTAAGCTAACCCCCACCAACAGACTGCGAGACAATACAGTTAGCATTAAACTAAACTACAGGTAAAAATGCAGGCACTAATGCAATTTTGTGTGTGTATCCCAGTAAAAGCACCAATTGAGCTCATCACAAGGCTCCAGTTTCATGCTGCTCTGCTTGTTTGAGTCACAGTTACAGGAAACATGCTCTCGTGAGGCAGATGAGTTTGAAAGTACCTCTGCTGTCTTTTTATGAAAGAATTGACTTTTAATTCTACTGCAAATTGTTTGCAGACTTCACTGCTATAATATTGCAGTATGGTGGAAAAATCAAATAAACTGGCACAACTAAGTAAACAGATCCTTCCAAAGATGCTGTGTAGTTTTAAAAAGGTGTAGCTGCTTAAAATAGTTTTTTCTGTGGCCATCTCTGCAAGGTGCTGTGAGCAAACACACCTCTTGTTATCACAACAGAACAAACAGTAAAGATACATGTGACTTAATATAGCTTAATAATGGTTGATCTGTGGGCCCCATGTTGACATTAAATGATAAACCTCGACTACCTTTGTGTGACCAGGTTTTATTATGTGGAAAAAAAAACAAGCCCAGGATGGATATAAAGCCTCGCTGACCTGAGAATGAACTGCCAGGCCCATGAACCTAAACAGTGTTGAACTTTTGCTGAACTTTCTAGAGACACCAGATGGAAAGTGCCTCTTTCTTTCTCTAAGTGCCATGAAGACACAGGCACGCTCTCTAAACACCGGGTTCAGGATGTTTAGATGTGTTTTGGGCCATTGTCGATGTGTTCACATGCTCATGCCCGACTGACATTCTTACACTGTTCGCGCGTTATCAGGATGCAAAGCAACCAAAAAAGCAAGTTTTTAGTTTTCTTTACAAAGACTGTGCATACTCTGGAAATAGGTCACAAGAATATTATGCAGAATAAATGCAGTTTTCTTTAAAATGAAAACATCCACATTCCACATCTTAGGAAAATACGTCCTTATGTCAGTAATCAACTTAAGCACCAAAGCTGAAAAACAAAGTCAGCATAGTTCACAGGTCGTCTGACCAGGAATTAAATTTAAAGAGCCTTGTTTGGATGCTTCAGCGGTCACAACTATAATTCTGGAGCTGTTTGACTGTGGCGTAAATCTCCCCAGGATGGAGGGCAAAGGTTTGCGGTTTGGCCACATTCGGGTTCAACCTGCGGTCACGTTAAGTCGCCTCAGCTGAAGGTGGTGTGATCTGCAGTAACACATGCGGGGACATTGACACTTTGTTGTCCACATATCACAAACTAATGAGTAAAAAGTACATTATCATCATCAGTAATTCTTCTAATATCAGGATGTAATGTAGCAGATTTGTAGTCAGCTTAAGTCACACAGACTTTATTTGGTTCTGCTGGCGTGTTTTTGTGGAAATAAACTTTTTATGTTAATAATGCAACTACCTGTGTTTGTCTGCTGTATATGCACATTCATGTGTTAATAAGAAATACATCAGATCGAACCTTTGTGGAATGCATAACAATAACAATGTTCTGTGCACTGTTTGTGGCCCTCGCACTCATCAGATACAAAGTCCTGAATAGCCTAACATTACTCATGATTTCCTTAAAACTGGACCACGAAGCAGTTTTTATGAAACATTACTTCATCTAGAGCATTTACTTGGCAAGCAAAAGGTCGCTGGTTCCAGCTGGAGACACAAATCCCTTTTGGGATTGTGTCAGAAAAAGCCTCTGGTGCAAATCTCTACAAAATCAAAAATTTGGAGTCACCCACTGTGGGGAGCAGCTGAAAGTGGCTTCTTCTTCATTATCATCCACAGGTGAATTTACAGCTGTGCGTGCTACTTGTTGCCCGTTGATGTTTTTTCGACATTAGATGTCAGCTACACAGAGAAATAACCCCCAGCTAAGAGCCAAATATCTCGTTGTTTGCTACTGCTAACAACCATTGCTGCCGTGAGAGACTGATATCAGTTTTTCAACTGATTGCAACCCATTGCTTTTTACTTGGGTCCTTCATTCATCACAATTAGAGTTTTTAATGAACTCTCATTGTAAATATTGTTTTAGACACTGAATTATAAATCAGAGAGTCACTTTACCTTTAGGTCTAGATGCAATACCTACACATTGTAGGTTTTCCCATAAGCAGATATTGGCATTTTTAGACTTCATCTATCCAATAATACTAATAATAAAAGACAAACATGTCTTACTAATACTAATTTATGCTGAAATTAAAGTGATTAATCTTAATTAATCATAATCATAGCTTAAATTAGGACACCTCCAGCACAAATATTGATATGAGACTTTGATCCTCATCTTTGCTTATAATTTATGAGTGTAACTCAAGTTTTATAGTGAGCTGTATAGCTTATTGCTTTTTATGGTCATTAATCAAACACACACCTCATTAAACCGGCTTTCTCACAGACACAGTCAAATACCAGCAACGATTTATCCTTTTCTGAAAGGATTTTGCAGAATCGAGGTCAGCAGACAAATGTGCAACAAATGATCCAAAGACAAAGCACAAAACGAAACAAGCTGTTGTGTTTCTCAAAGTATTTGTATCTGGGTTAAAGATGAGCGTGTAAGTGAAGCCTGAAGGATTAAGGTAATCTCATCATATGGTTCCTCTGGGAAAGTGTAGGCCATCCAACTTATTTTGGTAGACTGATCCTGGATTGATGATGGAAAAGGACGGATTGTGAGTCAACAAAATCCACGGCCCAGAAATGACTGTTTGGGTGATAATCAGCTTAATTGTCCAATTTGAAATCACAAATAAAAAAACAGTTTGCATGACAATAATTAGCTTGACAGAAAAAAGCTCCAATGAGAACAAAGTTTTCATTTAACTTTATTTTTTTAAAATACTCTTTTATATTATTCTAGTTGTTTTATGTACAGGTATCTAACACCATCGAACTCGGTTGGAGCAGTTGGAGCAAACTCAGTTGGAGCAAAGTGGTGAGCTGGTTAGAACCATCTCCTGACAGCAAGACACCCCTGGCTTTGAAACCCATGCAGATGTGGTTGAACCCACATCTGCATGGGTTCTTTCCACAGCTTCCTCCCACAGTTCAAATACATGGATATTAGGTTAACTGTTGATTTTAAATTGGCCACATGTATGTGACTGAATGATTTTGTTCATGCAAATGTTCTTTTTCTTAAGCTTGTGCTTTTAAAAACGTATTGATACTGAATATCCAGAAATCTGTCATTTACTAAGTAAATAAATAAAAAAAGGCTTTGCTGACATGATGCAAAATACAGAAAAACACAACTTAAAAAGAGATTTTCCTTTGTAGTTATAACTTTGCTTTTGTTTGTCTCCTCCACTTTTAAACATAATAAAGGCTGGAGCACAAGTGGCTATCAGAGCAGTACAGTTGTTATGAATAGAGTTTATAGAGTTTATACAGCCTCTGTGAAAGCGGACTTCCCTTAACTTACAGTGTATTCAAAAACTTTTGATGCATATTATGATGAGTTCATCTTGTTTAACATTTCAAATCTGCAGTCTGAACGCAGACGTACTCTGCCGTTCCTCGTTGAACTAATATTTCACACGAGTTCTTTTTGCGCTCAGTGAGACAGATTAAAGCGGTTTAGCGGAAAACAATTGCGCATGTGTGCACCGCAGAAAACAACTAAAGGCAAGATGCTAAAGAGACGAACTACGAGGAATGCGCACGTGCGCAAAGTTACTCCTGGCCAATCGTGCCCTTGGGATTTTCTGGACGGTCTTTCTCCTCCTCGTGCGAGGAAGGATAAAAAGGCCATTCCACACACGCACTCTGGTGTACTTCCTCCGCATATGTTCACGATGCTGCAGCTGCTGACATTCTTGGAGGAGAAGGTCTCCCTTCTTTTCAAGTTCAAACTCTTTGACTCCAGCTGGTTAGAAAGCCGGCAGCGGGAGCGCGCTGAGCGACGCACTCCATCGCCACCCCTTCGCAGGGGAGACGTGCTAGAGGTTCCCAGATCCATCTTCACTCACTTCGGCATCTATTTAGGCGACAACAAAGTAGCCCACCTGATTCCAGACATCCTCCCCGTGCTCACGAGCAACGACAAGCTCATCAGCTCTGTCATCACAAACGAGAGGCTCATCCTCGGCTGCATATACAGGTGTGCCATGGTGCGCGTAGACACGCTGGAGGACTTCGCGTATGGCGCCAGCATCCTCGTGAACCATGTTGATAAGATGATGAAGACGCCACCTCTGCCCGACGTCGCCAAGAGAGCTGAAAAACTCATAGGAGCCTTTCCGTACAGTTTACTGTGGAGTAACTGTGAACACTTCGTGACGTACTGCAGGTACGGAGCAGCAAGGAGCCGGCAAACAGAGCAGGTAAACATCCCGAATTGTCTGGGGCCATGTCTAAAGTATGCCGAGACTTTTAAGAAATGTTACAATGATAAATAACTTTTTTTGTTTGTTTGTTTTCTTCCCTCCGCAGTTCTGTGAGGTTCTAAAATCAATCATCAGGGACCAGCGCACTGTTATCGTTTCCGGGCTGCTTGGAATTATCTCTGTTGTTTACTTTGGTATAGCACCTTTAACTACATTACCCACAATTCTGATTCCCTTCACTCTCTGGATGGCTGGTTAAAAGAGCTCAAGGCAAGAAGCCAATAAAGAAGATGAACGTTTACTTGGCAAAACCTCCCTGAACACTGAACTCCAGCTTCATGCTTTGTCACAGTTCTCTGATTTCACTGGCCAACAGTGTTTGATGTATTATGTTGTTACTGCATCATTAGTTTCTTATTTTACTCTCAAAATGTGGGGACTAAACTGATTTCTTTATTAGAAGAATCGGTGAGTTATTTTTGCTAACATTGGACTAAATCAATAATAATGTTGATGTATGTAAATAAAGGTTATGAATATGACAGTTGTTTAATAAACAATGCATTTTTACACGTTTGCCTCGTGTGAATCTGACTCTTCTTACATCGCCACATGAATGCCAGTGGAAGAAGAGGCCTGCATCACCCATGCTAATGGCAGATAACTGGTCATAGGGTCAGCTGTGGAACAGGCTGCGTGAGAAAGCCTCCAAAACAATAGTTGACAAACAGATAGAGAGCAAGTGATGGATTATCGCAAACCTTTATACTTTTATATCAAGAAAGAGTCAAACCCATCACAGGACTACATTTGGTAGTCCTGTGGTATCTATCTAATATATTTCTCTCAATATTCAACAAATCACTGAATAATAATGAGACTGGTTTGAACACTTGGAGGCCGATCTAGTCTGCAACAAAGAAACTAACAAAAGGTGCTTCTTTGGGTGTAATGGCTCAATAACTGTGACCTTTAAATTGGAATTGAACTTGTTGCCCAATTAGCCTTCCTGATGGGGGCGCTTCACCTTAATACCCCACAAATAGGCCTGAATTTCAAAATCCAACCACACAGAAAAGGGATTAAAGAAAGCTCCTTTGTTTTCCTGTGAAATTCACACTAAAACATTGAGCAACATTTAATCCTCCTCGGCAGACTCGGCCCTCCCATTTCTGTTATAAATAAAACGGTCAGGTGTCAGCCTGTGTGCTGCACACTGCCATCATGTTTCTCTACCAACTGCTCAGCTTTTTCTTTGTAGTTTCTAAAAAGGAAGAGAAGCCCAAATATGATTTATCTCTGTACAAGCGCGGCGACTTGCTTGAGGTACCCAGGACATTATTCACACATTTCGGGATTTACCTGGGGGACGATCGTGTGGCTCATCTCATTCCGGACATCCTGCCTGCGATCACCAAAAACAAATCTGCGATTGCAAAGATGGTAACAAATAACCGCCTCATCCTGGGGGCCATCACCAAAGAAGCAAGCGTCAGAGTGGACTCTGTGGCAGATTTTGCTTATGGCTCCGAGATCCTGATCAACCACGTGGATAAAGTGTGCGCACAGCCTCCCTTAGATGGAGACGAGGTGGCTCGGAGGGCAGAGAAACTCCTGGGCTCAGTCACCTACAGCCTGCTGTGGTACAACTGTGAACACTACGTCATGTACTGCAGATATGGAATGGCCATCAGCTACCAGACATACCAGGTAAACTCCACACAGAAAGGCCTCCCAGCAGCAAGACTAAAGGATGAAGTTCACTTTTTTCCAAGTCTGACTTCAAACAAGACTAAATAGGTTGTTTGTCACTGCGTTTAAACCTCGTGTCTATTCTTGTTGTAGAAACATAATTTTTGAATACCTTGCCACACACAGAATAAATGCATTTAAGGAAGTTAGACTGCTACAAAATATTTGTTTGATTGAATTTTGCAAAGTATTTTTTTAAATAAAAAACCTATAGAAGACAGTAGATTTTGCTATTCACTTTATTTTGAAAACCATATTAGAAAGAAATCTACTGGTATCTATTGCAGACGGGAAATATAATTAAAGCAGCCAGGACCATATATATTGTACCAGACATTTTATATATAAATTTTTTACATAGGTGTTATTTTAGAAAGGAAAAACATTAATTGAGACTTTTCCTCAAATAGGGTGGACTTTTTATAATTACCTCACTAAACAGTGTGTAAAAATGGTTTATTAGTACTTTTTAGGGATTTATATTGAAACAAAGACTTGCTTTTTAAAGGTTATGTTTATTTATTTATTTATTTATTTATTTGGGGGGGGGGTACGTTTTCCTGCATTTGTTATTTTGAACTTAACTATTTCCTGAGGCGAGCAGCTCCATCTAGTGCTACTTTGTGTCCACATTGTTGTCATTAAGACTTTCCCTTTTCAGAACAAACATCTTCTACTTTTCTAAATTTATCTCACGCACTTTGTCATTTATCACAGCCTAATGTTGACATTTTCCCCCCAGTTCTGCACTACGATACGGAAGATCGTGTTCAGCAGACTGAGCGCCCTTTTGACTGCACTGTGTGGCGTGTGCACTGCGCTGTATGTAGGCTGCGTGACGCCGCTGACGTTTGTACTCGTCCTGCTCGTCTCATTCACCATCTGGATGGCTGCCTAATGACCCCTGGAGAGACCGACCTGAGAGAAAGGACTCTGGCCCTGTTTTTGCTGTGTTATTGAAAACACTGGGAAACAAGGTTTCTAGGTTGTTGTTTCAACTTCTTATATATGGCTGTTTTAATTTCTTTCTTTTTTCTTGTAGTTTTCTGAACTGTTAAGTAAGCTGTGATATTACTGTAGTTTAGCAGGTTTATTTAGCACAAATGTATTATGACTCAGGTGCAAAACTTTAAAGACTTTGAATAAAGCTCAAAGACATTTAAATAAAATAATGACTGAGATATATGATAGAGTACAGGGATGAGCTGTGCAGTAAGTGTGATAGATGGGTTCAAGGTGGGGGTGGAATTACATCAGGGATCAGCTCTGAGCCCGTTCTTGGTTGCAGTGGTGATGGACAGGTTAGCAGATGAGGTCAGGCATGTCTTCAGATGACATTGTGATCTTCAGTGAGGGAGTATCTGAAAGGACGGAGTTGTGCTCTGAAGAGGAATGAAAGTTCAAGATGTTAAGATTTTAATTGGGAGTGAAGATTATATATCAGAGGGACAACTCAGGTTTCACAGTGAGAGAGGAAAAGTTGAGATGGTTTGGACATGTGATTATGATGGACATCCCCCCTCCCAAGCAGCAGGAAAAGAGAAAGGAAAAAGAGGAGGTTCGTGCATGTATTGAAGCAGGACACGCAGCGGGTTGATGTGACAGAAAAGACTGCTAAGGATCGGGTGAGATGGTGGCAGGTGATCTACTGTGGTGACGCCTAAAGGGAGAAAGATGATGAAGAAGAAGGCGAATACAATATATGTCAGTGTGATGGTGTATGCAAATTGTATTGTGATAAGACTCACAGAAATGACAGAACTTGTTACTTTTGTATGTTGTAGAATAAATTACTGTTTGTACCATGTGGACAAAAGCGCAATAAATTCCTTCTATTGTAATTAGTTTTTGTCATTCTGTTAAACAATTTGAATTTCCCTTCATGTTGCATTACTTTTATGGCTCATAGGTCATATCATTACATTATTATCTGCTGCTATTTCAATCGTTTTTGACAACGCCTTGTCTGGGAAAAATAGGCGGAGACAACAATGCTCAGAATTAAATGTTTTTGCTGCTTACTGCAGAGACTGTTGTTAATCTTCTCCCATTTCAACAGTAACAAGGAAAGTGATATATGCAGTACAATGTTGTGAAATTATCTTAATAAATTCTCTGCAAATATTCAGTATATGGCTATGCAAACACACAGTTCAACTTAGACTTAGACTTCGAGCTTTTTATTGTCATTGTGCAGTTTCTTGCACAGCGAAATTGGGTAGCTGAACCACAAAGGTGCTAAAGTAAGAAGAAGAGAAACCAATATACAACAAAGGCAGAAAATAAATAAATAATTAAACAAATAGAATAAAATAAAAAAACAGTGTATATGTATACATATGTGAGTGGAACTATATACATGGTGTGGACCAAAATAATTGCACATGAGCCAAAAATATTGCACAGAACATGGAAAGACTGAGATATTGCACATAGATGATCAACAGCAGTGTCAGGGTGGATGTGTTGGGGAAGTCTTTACACACTCTTAGTTTGCATTAAGAGTTCTGACAGCCCACGGGAAGAAGCTGTTCTTTAGTCTGTTGGTTTTGCACCTGATGGATCTGAGCCTTTTTCCAGAGAGCAGGATGTTGAAGAGGTGGTGGTTAGGATGGAGGTGGTCCTTTATAATTGCCCTGGCTCTGGAGAGACATCTTGAGCTGGCAATTAAGTTCAGGGAGGGGAGTGGACAGCCGATCACCTTCTCTGCAGTTCTGATGACCCTCTGTAGTCTCTTCTTGTCAGCTGTTGTGCAACCAGCGTACCACACAGGGATGGCGTGCACCAGCACACTCTCGATAGTGGCACGGTAGAAGGACACTAGGAGTTCAGTCTGCAGCCTGTTCCATCTCAGAACCCTCAAGAAATGGAGGCGCTGCTGGGCTTTCTTTACTAGGGCTGATGTGTTTGTGGACCAGCATAGGTCCTCGGATATGTGGGTGTCGAGGAACTTAAAGGAGGACACCCCTATCCATAAAAGGTGACTATGTGGAGAGGGTGTGATGATAAAAACAACAACAACAGCAATGATAAAAAAAAACAACAACAACGTCAGTACCCACAAATCTTTATTGTGATTTTTTTTGACACATCTGTGTTTGCCTGCAAAGCGTTTAGATGTGTGCAGGTCTTTGAAACAGAAATAACAGATTTCAAACTGACCTAAACTGACTAATACATTCAGGGGTTCCTTTGCAGAAGTATCAAAACTGAGAAAAAAGTTTTGCAAAAAGAAGTAAAGAGAAACATCCTTTTTTAAAGAGGAGAATATTATCTGATTGACTCAGAGAAGAGGGCGTTTAATTCCAGGATTTATAGATAGAACTAGTGAGATGAAAGCAGACTTTACGCCAGGCAAGCAGTCAGAACAAATCCAGGAAAACAGATGCTAGAAAGAACAACAGGAAATGTGAAACACTGAGCAGGTATATATGTGTAATGTAGAGCTTATGAGGGGAAAAATATAAAATATAAATTTATATTTGTCATGATGTAAACACAAGATGAGACACTTATCAGAATTTCACAGCATCAGATGCAAAGACTCTAAATGTTCAGCCTGGCCAGAGTGCTCTAATAACTATAACTGAGCCCGCCTCTGTGACAACCTATCCGGTTGTTAAGTCTGATGTCACTAGCCGTGTCTGGGCCTAAACTCTGCTGTAGGTCCATATATCAAACGATCACTATGACATTACTGAGAGTTGAAAAACTGTCTAAAGTCTTTCATCTTTAATAAAATGATCAGCGTTCTGCTCTACCAGGTGTAACAATTGAGTTTAACATCCAGGCATCCATGAAAACGGAATTTATGACATTTAACGGATTTAGAAGTTAGCAGGAAGTTAGCTCGCTAGCTTCTATCTAAATACAATATAGCATGTCCTGACTGCGGGGTTTTGGAAACAAATTAAAACGTACAGCTTTGTTATCACTTCCAACATAAATGAAGACAGAAAACTAAACAGCAGTGACGTTTGTAGGGTTACTGAAGTTGGGCTAGCTGGTATATAATGATGCGCTACGTGACCGCTAGCGACACAGCTATGTTAGCATAATATAAACAAGCTAACTTTTTTTTCCCGCTCGATAAAAGTTAACGTGAGTGTTCTCGGTGGTCAGGAACAAATGTAATCGCATGGCAGGATGCTGTTAAAGGACCAAACTTCAGCCAGGAGAACAACTGAGATAATCCATCCACAATACGAGGTTAGTCATTCATATACTGCTGCATGGGCTGGGCTGTAGTTACATCCTAAGGTTTTAAAAACTGAGCTTAAATAAATGATTAGCGGTAATAAAAGCCGAGGGAGGTCAACAGTGATTTTTGAGATTAAATAGAAGACAATACAAAACATTAAACATGTTAACAACACAAAAGCCATATTAAACGCAGACTACTTTAGGCCCGGAAGTAGGATTTGTCACGTCATCACTTAACGACCGGATTAAGTAGATCATGAATTAAGATTAAGATCGTGGGCAGTCCCCACTGGTGGGGCGAGGAACCAACAGATGTGAGCATGAATGGGTATGTCTCTCCTGCCTTTATCAAATTAAAATTCATTGTGGTCACTGTTTTTTTATTGTTAAAAATAAGAATAAATGATAAAAACACTGATATGTGAAGTCAAGTGAACTTTATTCATTTTTTTTAACATACAAACACATTCAACAACAATAGTGTAGCAGAGAAAAGCAATACAAGCACACTAACACTTAAAATGACATAAAAATGTATGTGGGGCATGAAAAAACTGCACAACCACATATAACGTCTTCTGCATAAGTCAAACTAAGTCTAAGATCCAACTCTTGATGTTTCCATCTGGACATCTACAATGTGAACATTTAACGAGTCATTAAATGAGTTTATAGGAGTCATTCTATAGGTGCAAGTGTATGTCTGTCTTTCGTCTGAGTATCACAGGCAGACCAAGACCAGAGTTAAAGAAGGATAATTGCCTTACCATTACACTTAAGCACTAATCCCGCAGAGAAGCACTACATATTGATTTAAGATAGGTGGATGTAATGGGCTGAACCCCACAGGTTCTAATAAAAGGAGTGCAGGTGCACAGACCCTGCTGAGATGGAAGTGTAACTGGGTTTTGTCGCCTCTAAAATTGACGATTTCCAGGGCTAAGTTGGATTCACTAAGAGAAATCTAATTTTCATTTCTATAATCTCACACGGTGTCAGATGTCTCCCTTATTCAGCTTCTATTAAATACCTCGAGACATATTTCACATGGCAGCTTTAAGAAAAAAAAGGTCTGTGTCTATGAGAAGAAAGTGGGCTAAATCTATTTTAAGAGCTCAAAAGCTAAAGCAGGAGTACACTGTGCGTAAACACTCTTACATAATCAAAGGCTTTCATTATAATCATTTTTTATATTTATAATACACACAAACTGATAATATTTGAATGACTTTTTTACAGTTGAGACATTGAGCTGTAGGTGCCTTGAGCTTTATTATTGCTGTCACCAGTTTTCCCTACCCTAACTGTCAAACGTGGTCCAAACATTAACATTAGTGGCTATAGTTACTCAACTAAATGTCTGGAATTGTCCTTTTAAAATATTTCCAGGGCACTCAAACATTTCCTAGTTCTGTCACAAAATATATTTTGTATTTTTATGTATGCTCTGGACAACTTTTTTCCCATAAAAATCAGAGTCTGCTTCCACTGGAGGTCTCTTCCTGTTAAAGGGGAGTTCATTGCTGCCACTGTGGCTAAATGTTGCTGATTGGGGATTGTTCACATCCGTTATAATACAAAGTGCCACGAGGCAACAGTTGTTGTGAACTGGTGCTATATAAATAAAAATAAAAATAGTGGTAGCTGCCAGTGCCACGCCTCAGCGTCTTAGTGGATGCACACGTGGTATAAATTTTTATCATAGGTGACTTCCATGTTCAGTTATTGCATTCACAAGATATTCAGAAAATGTGACCTTTGACTTCGACCTCGGGATCAAGGTTCACTGATATTTGAATTTGTCCAAGGTTTTCAGTAGATGCACATATGGCATCAATTTCAAAACCCCGCATCACCTCCTTCTCCAGTTATTCATTCACAATCTTGGGTGTCCATGCTTTCCACCTGCCTGCCTGGCGGGGTGATGACAATAACCCATCAGCCTTTTGCAACTGAGGGGTAAAAAGTGAATTTCGCTTTCTTCTTAAGAACATTTTAAATTATGTAAATCAGAAATCTAAAGATATTAAATGCATGGTGGTGCTGTGGTCAGTGCTGTTCCCTCACAGCAAGAAGGTCC